AACCGATTACCCAAATTTGAATTTATTGTTAAATTTTTTTAAAAATGTTTCAAAATTAATTCTTACATCCATTACAACCATTTGGAGATCTTTCCAAATTCAACTTCTGTCATTATATACAATCCAATTAAAAACTATTTCCATATTGATTCCTACATTAATATACAAAATGCAATAATGGCTTAGTTGGGGGTATTTTTGGAATCTGAAAAGTACAATAAATCAAATTTTATGCTTAATTAGGTAACTTGTTGAGTTAGATCCTAGTCCTGGGTTTTTACTTATACAAATTGGGTATTATTTATAGGAACAAAAAGTGAAGGGTTTTAGGTACGGCAAATTGAATTTGAAGGGTGTAAGCCAAATTTACTATAATTTATTTATCATTTTTACTACAATATTTTACACTTTATAAATTTCATGGTAAGATACATGAATAACTTTATTTCACATTATTAACAGGACATCATGACATGGTACACGGTCTTATATTTATTATTTATCAAAAATTGAAAAATAATTAAAGATGTAAACCAACTTGATTTGTCATGAAAATTAAGCACTGCACCATGCTTAAAAAATAATAGTGAAGATTGAAAATTAACTAAGAACTTAAATAAAGTTATCCAAGGAAGAATTAACTAGGAAATAAAGTAAATGATTATAGAGATTTAAGTAATTAAGCAACAATTTAAAGGGGAATTTAGTAATGTAAGTACTTATAATGAATAATAAAATAATCAATAACATTAAATGGATTCAAGGAAATAAATAAATTATATTAAGTAATTAAATATTTGATCAACAATATAGAACAATAAGTAATTATTTTCTATTTTGAGAAACAGCTCGGAAGAGTTATAAATACGATATTCCATTGGTACTAATCACAAAGTGATGATTAGTGTGGTGGTTTAAGTGGCTCACACCTTGGAAGTGGGGAGGGGTTCGAACCCCTGTGTGCGTGAGTTCAAGTGAATTATTTCATTTATAAAAGTTCATATCGCGATATTATTGATAATAATGCGATATGTTGACCATTTGCAGCTCCTACTTGAAGCCATTGAACAACATACTCTTTGTGAAGCTCTTCGATGTGTGGGGTAATGTTTGGAATTCCAAGGGCCGTCATTAGACATGAGAATGCAAAACTTTATAAAGAATAAACCAAGAGTTACCATGACAAAGACATTCAACGGAGAGAGTTCACCAAAGGTATGACAGTTCTTTTGTTTAACTCACGTTTGCATATCTTTCTAGGAAAATTGAAGTTTGGGTGGCTTGGCCCATTCACCGTGGTCAATGTTTCTCTCTATGGAGCAGTGAAGATTCAAAACCCTAAAGATGGCTTGACTTTCAAAGTAAATGGACAATGTTCAAAGCCATTCTATGAGGGAGTTTCAGCTGGCATTCGAACTGGCCATGTGGTGGATCAACTTCCCTCCATACCATCAACTTAGCTGATTGCATAATGTCTTGCCAAGACATTAACTAAGGCGCTTCTTGGGAGGCAACTCATGTGTTCAATAAGAAGGTACTTGGTAGCGGTCAACCTAATCGCATCAAGGAGGAGTTTTTCTAAACCTTTTCTTAACTTTTCCCTTTATCATTTACATGTTCTCAATCATCTTTACTGTGCTTTAACAATGAGGACAATGTTCAATTCAAGCACGGGGGAAGGTTTTCAATTTTCGTTCGTTTGTCACTAATTTTTTTTAGAATGTCATACAATCGATGCTATGGAGCTACCATTGAGGTTTTCATATCAAAATTTAGCACTTCACAAAGCTTGCTTTTAGAATTCTAGTGGCTAAAGTACCATGTTCAAATTCTTGAAGGAGAATAGTGGAGACTACCCTAGTGAGCTATATAAAGCCTAATTGCTTTCTTGAGAGGGTCTAAAGTGTTTCTATTTCTCATCCCTACTTATTTTCTTCAATTCACTCTAAATGATCTCATTGTTCCATTTTGATTTAATACTAAGGATGATTCTCTTCTTCAGATATCATGTGCTTGCTCTCACTCATGAATGAACTCATTGAAGTGATGCTAGGCTATGTGTGCATAACCATTCTACGTGCTTTCTTTTCATCCTACCCATATGTGTGTTCCATCAACCCTTTTGAAGCCAACACTTCAAGCCATTTTCTTCTATCATCATCATTATTTCCTCACCTTTGTATCTCAATATGAGATATTTAACCTATTGTAGTCATACCCTATAGCTTAGAAATATACCAAGGTGTGCCAAGATAAAGTTTGAAGCAAGGAAGTTGCTGCCATGTACCTAAATGAAAATTGGTGTGAATCTGTGCAATGAAGTTAAAGAAGATGCAGATCAAATCAACAAAGAAGAAAGATAAAAGAGAAAGTGTTTTGATATGATCTAAGTGCGAAAAATAAGGTATATTCCAGGTGATACCATAAAGTTTGCAGCCATAATCAATGATACCTTACAGATCAATGAAGAATGCGACCTTGGTATAGCCGCACGGCTACTCTATTTTTTAAAAACTAAAAACAAAATCGAGTATAGTAAAACAAAAACCAGAGCAGCCACACAGCGCCTAGGTGCCCAAGTGTAAAATAGTATAGCTTAAAAAAAGAGAAAATCAAAACTCATAGCACAGTTGCATAACATTCTCAACTCAAACTGTTACCAAATCAGAAAGTAGGTATATAATTAGAAGGGTGTCCAATACAAGAACGTGACAGAATACTGATAATCTAAAAATTGAGTGTGAAATATATTGAAAGCATATATGAAGAAGAAACAAAACTTTACGCCTGAAAATGATTTTAGAAACAAAACTTAAACATCCAAAAAAAAAAACTCAAATGGGCTTTTACAGTAAGCCCAAACGGTGGGAACTGGGAACCGAATCGGACTGTAACCAATCTGGTTGGGTTTGGTTCTAATATAAGTTTTGTATAAAAAAACCAAATTGGACCATATGAAAAGTACCAATTCCGATTCCTGTTTGGATATTAAAATGAATAAGATTATTTGTGTGGTTCAACATGGTCTTGGTCAAATTTGTTTTGTTTTGAGAAGTTGTCTTCCTTAAGTGACGTTGAAGTAAAGTAAGAAAATGACAGATTGGAATTCAAATATCATCATGTGTCAAAAGAAAACTGATATGTTGTGAGAACACATAAATGGTGGAAAGATTTAATTCCATTCATGCATCCACTGTCAGTTGAGATCAACATACATGAGGTACATGATCTGCCCTCTAAGAATACATACTCTTAAAATTTTCAAAGTCTTAGGCATCCGAAACTCTTCGGGTAGGGTAAATCACATCAATGTACGAAGAACTTAGATTTTTTTATATAAAAGTCGTCATTGCATTTAGCTCGTAGAAATGTGTTCCCACCTTAGTAAATAATGTTATTTTGCTCACATGGACCTTCCTAGGAAAGCATATTTGGTTTCCTCTTCTTTGATACTCTTGTTTAATTTTCCACTTCAATTTTGGATCTTTTTATCTTTTCATTTTCAAGTGATTGGACAGAAATCGATCCAAGATAAGTTCAGCATAAGAAACGCAAACATTTAGCTGGTCAATTCACCAAATTGCTTTTATTGGTATGAGAATCCATGCCCTTCTTTCAAGAGTTTGAAAGAATTATGAGAAATCGTTCGTACTCCTGTTTGGTCTAAATTTGTAATGTACTATACAAACAATTGTCACCACTCCTTTTTCACCAAATCAGAATTTGATTCTCCCCCTAGCTTTTCCTCTATTTTTCTTGCCCTGAAACTGTTGGGGTGTTGAAGAAAAGGCATTAGACTGTAGACATACCATTGGGGACCTAAAAATATTGAAATCAAACTAACCACAAAAGGGATAAATTGGATGACCTCAAATTTTTTGAAAAGTACTTATTGTCATGTAATCAAATTAGCTTATAATATCGTGACTTGTGAGCGTTGTAATTATAGTGGTAGAGTACTTCTTCTGACACTTCCGAGTTTCTCTCTTCTCCATATTATTTTTTTGTTGAGAAATTCTGGAATTGCATTCATAATTCAGCCAAAAAGCCACTAGCCACAAAGGACCAATACAAACTAGCCACAAAGAGCCATTACAATAACGGAGCGATCTAACATTAAAATTAAGACACTCTGAGGCTCCTCCACTAACGATCACGCATAATCGAAGAAACTCTAACATAGGCATCCTAACTAAGAGTGCAAACTCAAAACAACAAAAAATAGATGAAGCTTGAAAAAACCAAGCCATAACAATACAAATAAGACTCTTACAAAGGATAGGTGGAAAGCTCTCACAAAGGAGAGATGAAAACTACACATAAAACTAAAAAAAGTCTCTGCGACTTATTCCAAACATAAAGAAACCGCAAAAAGGATAGTGGTAGAGATCCAACATAGAATTGCGTGTGAAGATTTGACGCTGAGACGCATCCGCATGTGATGAGTGGATGAAAATCATTATAAAACAAAGACAAATAGGGGAAGCCTTTTGTCTATGAAAATTGAGGAAAAGAGGAGAAGGGAGGAAGGGAGAAGGGGAGAGGGGCATAAGAGAGGAAGGGAGAGGGAAGGAAGAAGAGTGGCTTCCTCCCCTCAAAGTAAAAACGGTTATAGAGTGTTTTTTAAGAGAGAGGGAACTAGGGTTTTGAGAGAGGTAGACCTCCCGCTCTTCTCCTTATCTAAAATTAGGAAAGAAAAAAGAGTTAGCAAATTAATGTCATGTTCTAATGCTAGAATCCCAATCATTTTCATTTACATAAATTCACCATTGCCAACCAACAATATAAAACAAAGTACAGAGAACATACAAACCTCCTCACCCACCCGTCCACCTCCTCTACTAGGAAATGCCACTATTTCTCTCCACCAAAGAATGAAAAATCAGCATAATATTTACAAATCTTTACTACAATACAAAAATGCCTGTGTCTCCATCCACTATACCTATATTGGAAATCTATAATTCTATACTGTTCTTGGGTCAACTTACTTACAATTTTTTTTTTATAAATATTTTGGAAATTTTATTGTAGGGCCTTCCCGAGACTTCATGGTTATATTCTTGGTGAAGAATTTGTTTACCAATGGCCACATTGACCAGCAGGGCCTGGATTTGCACATTTTTCCAGTGGTTCACAGATGCATGGAATGGAAGCGATGTAGATTCTTCTTTTGACAAATTGCTGGCTGCATTTGTGACAATTATATTTTATTTTATTCGGATTTTAATCCATATCCATGTAATCTTATTTTAGTCCAGTCAACAAATTGGTCTAAGATCCTCATACTGGAAAGTAGGTTTGTTTTTTTTTTTCCTTAACTTTTCAGTAAGCCGCACACCATTGAATTTATTCTCATTTTTGGATATGCCAATGGAAAATGTACTTCCTTTATTATTTATTTATTTATTTATTTGGTGGGACAAGTAACATGGCTCAATGGGGAACAAAAAGAATAAAAATCTTTCTATTGATTGATTTCCATGGGAGAGAAATACTGAAAAATAGGACTATGTTGTTTAAGAGTGGAGTTCCCTGCTGGCTGGGTCAAAACATGTTGCATGCTTCACCTCGGACGTCTCATACGCAGTGAGGGGTCATGCGCGCATGCTCATCTTTATTTTAGATGTAATGCTCTCGTGCTAAGTATCTGTATATTTATGATCAAATTTGAATCACACATTCAAACGACTTAATTTAAACCACACATTCAAACAACATACCGAATAACATGTAATGTTTCACATTGATAATTTGGGAAGCTACGTTTGACTGAAAATTATTGTGTGCTTGTAGGCCATTTTTTATGAGTTGGAGATTGCTAGTAAGAGTGGTTATTTGGCCATCATCATTGAACCATTCTAATTGTGTTGTGGACTTGGTGGCTGCACCCTTTTTTTCAGCTCGATTTCAAGCTGCAAGCTCTTGATGACCAATGGGTCTTGTCGGATTCATCATTCTTATAGGGAGCCTCATTTTGTTGCAATGAAGCTAGCATTTCGTGGGTTTTGCTGGGGGAAGGGAAGGCCGACACAAGACTTCTAGTGTAGGACAAGTACATGGTTAGGTGAAAGGAAATTACTTTTAGCTATTCGAGCAACAAGTTCTTTGAAGATAGATGGCTATTGCATTATGATCATGAGATGCTTACATTCTACTTGCACTAAATTCTTGTTGGAAAATTTGGTTGATGGACGTTACTTCTCCTGCAATACATCACATAAAATAAATGTTTGAAAAATTATAATTTACATTGACTTATCAAGTTAAATAAAATTACTGTCAAATACTTATCTTTTAGAATGTAGAAACTAGGTCTTCATATATATAAGCTTGATGGGACTAAGAGCTTTAGGTTGAGGTGTGTAATTACTGTCTTTAAGAATAGATTTTGCCCTTCGAAAACAATGTCTCGATGTAACAAATATCCTTTAGAATACAACAATCGATGACCCATCTATGACCCTTGTAAACGTATACTCACATTACTTGAGTCAGGTGAACTACTTTAATCTTTCCCATGAACCCAAACTTTGAAAAGTTTACAAATAAATAAGAAGAGTTTAGAGGAGAGAATAGGAGAAAGAGACGTTTTGCAATAAAAGATTCTATTGATAAGAGTATTATTGTTGCATCTTTGGCAAAATAAAAGACTTAAAATTTCGCTAACAGGGCCTAGCCCAATAGGAAAGTGTGTGTCAACATTCCTCCCCCCTTCTGGCAAAAACATGAATATTCCTCCTCCTTATAGTTTAGACTGTTATTTATATTAAAAAAAAGTTTAAAATTCCAATAATGAAATTGATAAGAATTGAATAAATTAAAATATAACTATAGACATAAATGGACGCACTAAAGTTTCTTTAAATAAAAAATTTCACCTTCGCAATAGTTTCAGTTAATAAGCCCAATTCAATTAGTAGTGCACAACTTCTACCAACAAAGTTAGAGCATCTTCAAGGTAAGAGGCAAAAGAGTAGGTAAATGAATTTGTCTTGCCATATTAGCATTTTCATGCTTCAAAGAAAGAGGCAAATGGGTACGTAGAATATACATACTTTCCCCAACAAGGCAATATCGCCTACTTCAAAGTGAAGATGTATATTGGGCCTCACTTGCTTTTTATAATAAAATATCATCTCCACTTTCTCACACACTTTTTATAAAATATAATAGTAAATGTAAAATATAAAAATAAATAATATAATAATAATTTGTACACTTGCATTGCCTAGTCCCATGGAGTGACCAACTTTTTTCATGAGACAAATGGGTAAGCAACGTGCCACCTGGGTTGTTATAGTACAATTTTGTCAATTTCATTTTCATACTCCCTTGGGAATGTTAATGACAAAAAACTAAAAACAATCAGCTAACGTACAAAATATTCAAAATCAATATGAAACTAGTTTTGCAATTTAAAATATAATAGACATGTCAATAGGATCTAGCCAAGTAGAAAATGTCATTGACTTGCAGATTAGTGGTCTTAGGTTCGAACCCCAATGGCACCGTGGTACTTTATGTGAAAAACCTCCCTCCCCATATAATTTAAACTATCACTTGAACTAAATTATATATATATATATATAATAGACATAGAACAACCATTTATACTACATTTAAAATTTAGATAATAAATTTTTACATCTTATAAGTGGTGGATCCGGTGTTACGGGTGAAATATGGAAGTGCGAAGCATTTAGTTTGAAGAGAAAGATTTTAAATATTAATTAACAAAATGTTCATTCATAGTGGAGCAAAAAATTGTACAATTCACAATTGCCTACGACGTATTTTCATTTTCTAACTTGACACAAAATAATACACTTCACAATTGCCTACGATGCGTTTTCATTTGAAAATGCTCCATAATAACAACTTCTTTACCTTGACATATAAGTTATATGGTGTTAGCCAAATCTTCTAGTCGTAGTTTTTGTTGCTGTTTGTTTAGCCAAATCTTCTCTGCAACCAGGGGCGGCCTTGGGGTGGTGCAACAGCACAAGGCCCCTAATTTTTGAGGGCCTCTAAAACAAAATTCTTTATATTATATATAATAATATTATAGGAATGGTATATATACTTTAGCATGCTGCATATTATCATAAAAGTGTGTGTGGCAGAACTGACTTTGTAGCGTATATATGTTAATAGAAGGGGGTCGAAGTCATTCTATCCTTCTTCTTTTTTTTTGCATTATAACAACAAATTTGAAGTCATCCTCCCTATCGTTCTTCAGAAAGAAAACAAAAAACGCTTTCTCCTAAAAAAAAAAAGTACTTTCTTCCACTGAAAAAAAAAAAAAAAAAAAAAACCTTCCTGGCTTCTTTATCTTAAACTCTGATTTTCTGGTAAATAATTATCATCATTCATCAATCTCTCTTTGGTTCATTTTTTTCAATCATTTGACAATTTTTGTCACAAGAAAGATCAAACAGACTAGCTTTGATTTCAATTGGAAGTGAACTTCTAGAAAAACTTGATTATGAACATTTGATTGATGATCTCTCTTCTAAAAATTCAAGAAAATCAATTTTCAGACATTAAGTTTGTACTTGTGTTTTTTTTTTCTTTTGGGGAAAAAAACTCTTGTAATAGTTTTAATTCTTTAAATAAAAATAACAAATACAATGTGAATGATTTTTGAATAGTAATGCATTTAATCTTCTATTTAAGTTTAGTACAGAGCCCTCAAAATCTTAAGTACTACAACTTGTTGTTTATTTGTATTAGGCGCCAGGGAGGGAGGATATTCCATGTTGGCCTCGGTTAAAGAATGAGGAAAAAAGTCAAAATTATTTGCATTTTATAATGCGTGCAAATAAAGCAGCAAAAGAAGGTGCGCCTCTCATTCATGGTGTGATGCCTACTCACAAGGCATGTTTTTCATGAAACAAAAAACTTCACATGTCGCCACGTAGGCCAAGATCTACTCTAGGCTTGACAACCCAGTGCCTTTCCAACTCAAAGATCGAAATCAACAACAACAAAAAAAAAATGTCAACTTTTTACTCATTAGAAACCAAAACTTTCTTGCTGCTTTTTGCAAACTCAATCCTCCTTTAACAAACACAAAATCTGGGCCTTGTTTACCTGTTTCACCTTTTCATGCCTCTTTTTCCCAAACTACCCCCTCCTCTCTTCCTATCCATTGACACAGTCTTTTTTTTTTTTTTTCTTTTTCTTTTTTCAACAATATCATAATTATCATTACTACAAACTTAAGTACAAATCGACAACCCAAACTCAAAAATGTTCTAAGAAAAACTCAATTGGGCCACCAAACCCTTTTTCTTGTTTTCAAAAACAGCCTGTGATCAGCAATGAAATACTTTTTTTGCCCTTAATCAACGGCCCTCAATAATTTTTTGTCACGGGTTGAAATGACACCGGTTATATTTATAGTCAACTAACCTAGTAGAAAATGATCTTAACTTATAGACTTGAATCTCAAGTTTGAACAGCATCTGTACGAGAAGTAATATTCTTTTCTTAAGCTATGCACCTCACATTTTCACCTAATTACTAATAAAAACCATGCAAAACTGAACCAAACCGAACCATGCCCCTTTTATCACAACAATGTCTTCGAGTTTCATCACTTGGTCACCACTAAAGTAGTTCTTTTTTTAACTAATGCTAACCATGGGATTTTGATCCAAATATATATGACCAGAAATGTTCATGTTCAAATAGTGTGACTAGTTTAATTCCAACATCTCCATCGAGAAGCAAATCTGGCCATGTGGTCTCAGAAGCAGCAGCCGCTGAGCCAGCTAGCAAAGCGCAAGCAGCATATGCATAGAGGATAACAACTGATCAAAGATATGAACAGAAGCATTTGCACCAATTTTTTAACAAATAAAGCAACGTAGACAAGAAATCATATCATATGGCCAACCAAACCACATGCAAATAAACAAGCCTTATCTATGGATCATATAATGCAATAATATTGATATGATTATTCCTTTGGCTGCAAGTGTGCAAGTAAATGGATTTTGATTTCATTATTGGAAACTACAAAGACAGATTTTTATAACATGTTAGAATTTGGATAATATTAGAACTAGAAAGCTTCTAACTTTTCTCATCCCAACAAAACAAAATTTGAAGATCCAATACCCCAAATGCAATAATCAATCAGCCTTTGGCCTTTCTCTTTTCCAAATCTCCAACCCCATCTTCTCTCTGCTCTGCACCCAAAAAAAGAAACACAAAAAGGAAAAAGAAAACCTAACCTTGGTGACCTTCATTTTTCTATGATCTCATTATCTTCTTTCGGATCCTTCTCATCACCTTTCTTGTTGTCCTCAACAAAGTCACACCCTTCTTCTTTAGGGCTCTCCAAGGCCCTCTTCTCCTGCTCTTCTTCCTCCTCCTCCTCCTCCAAATCATGGCCTCCATTAACCTTTTCCCTTGA